ACCACCAGAAAACCGGAAGTGGCGCTGTAGCTCAAATGGTAGAGCGCTCGCCTTGAGCTGAAGAGCTGAGGGACAGCACCCAGGCCCGGAGTTCAAGCCCCACGACTGACAAAAAAAAAAAAAAGAATTTCACGTACTTTTCTGCCTGGCTGGCTTTGAACTGAGATCCTCAGATCTCAGCCTCCTGAATAGCTAGGTTTATAAGTGTGAGTCACTGGTACCTCTGAGACTCTTACCTCTAACCACCAAAAAGCCAAAAGTGGTGATATGGCTCAATGGTAGTGCCAAAAAAGAAAAAAGCTGAAGCGGTCCCTGAGTTCAAGCACCAATACCTACACACGTGTGTATGTGTGATAAGAAAATGAGACTAAGCCGGGCGCTGGTGGCTCACGCCTGTAATCCTAGCTACTCAGGAGGCTGAGATCTGAGGATCGCGGTTCAAAGCCAGCCCGAGCAAGAGAGACCATGAGACTCCTGTCTCCAATAAACCACTAGAAAACCGGAAGTGGCGCTGTAGCGCAAGTGGTAGAGCACTCGCCTTGAGCTGAAGAGCTGAGGGACAGCGCCCAGGCCCAGAGTTCAGGCCCCACGACCGGCAAAAAAAAAAAGAAAAGAAAATGAGACTGGGCTGGGAGTGTGGCCTAGTAGAGTGCTTGCCTAGCTAGCATGCATGAAGCCCTGGGTTTGATTCTTCAGTACTGCATACACAGAAAATGACAGAAATGGCACTATGGCTAAAGTGGTAGAGTGCTAGCTAGCCTTGAGCAGAAGAAGCTCAGGGACAGAGCCCAGGCCCTGAGTTCAAGCCCCAGGACTGGCAGAAGAAAAAGAAGAGAAAATGAGACTGAACAAAAAGAATTTTTGGTTGTGAGGGCCTGGGTGCTGTCCCTGAGCTCTTGAGCCACAGCGCCACTTCCAGTTTTTCTGGTGGTTAATTAGAGAGAAAAATCTCGCAGACTTTCCTGCCCAGGCTGACTTTGAACCGTGATCCTCGAATCTCAGCCCCCTGGAGTAGCTAGGATGACAGGAAAGAGCTACCATCACCCAGCTGACTAGCAGAACTTTGAGTAGTTCATGCAGTGGACGTGGGACGAGCCTCAGGTGACCTGGAAGTTAACTGACCAATGAGGGGCATTTGGAACTAGATAAGAACAGCAGTTGAGCAAGGATCAAGAAGCAGAAATTACCGAAGAACCCTAGGAAAACTCAGTTTGTAGACTTAACAAACCCCTTAAAGATTTAACAACGTGGACCCAAGACTGAAAAGGACTCATTCATGGAGAGGAGTGCAGGATATGGTGCAAGTGTTTGATGACAGAAATTAAACCAGACAAGTTACCCAAGTGCGTTTCTGAAGAGAGCCTCCTTCTCAGAACGCATCTTGGTGGTTCCTGTGGAGAGATCCAGAGTACCACATTGTCCTCTTAGAAGATGGTTCCCCCTCCGAGGGCAGTGACACGGGTGACTGGACACCTGTGTCTAGGCCTTGCCTCTTTGTCTCTCTCCCTATTTCTAACTGTATCTATCTCTTCTACCTACCTGTCTCTGTCTACCTGTCTGTCTATTTGTAACTATATCTATTTTATCTGTCTACCTACCTATCTGAAACTAGTTGCTATCTTTAGGCTTTCGTCTCTTCAGTGCTAGGATCACACACCTGGCATTGTATATTAGCGTTCTTCTGTTCCCTCCACCTTGCCGCCTCCTCTCCCTTTTCCAGTTCTGGAACTCACTTTTGCTCAGTTTTTTCCCTCAATGCTGTCATCCTACCATGTGAATTATGGCTTCATGTCAGGCTTTTTCAGCCCATACTGGCTTCAAGCCAAGATTCTCTCATGTCAGCCTTCTGAGAAACAGGCCAGCATTCCCTACACTTACTATTACTGTTGTTGTTACTGGTACTCGGGCTTGAACTCAGCCTGGGGACTGTCCCTTAGCTTTTTTTGCTTAAGGCTGGTACTTTACCAGCCTTGGAGCCACAGCTCCACTTTCAATTTTTGGTTGTTAACTGGAGATAAAAGTATCACTGGCTTTCCCGCCTGGGCTGGCTTGAAACTGTGCTCCTCAGCTGTCAGCCTCCTCAGTAGCTAGGATGACAGGCGTGAGCCACTGGCTCCCAGTTTCTCCACGTGTCAGGTGGTTGTGCAGGGTATGGGGTCATTTTTCGCGTGTCCCTGAGTGCGCACAACGATCCTCAACCCGCCTCACCCCCATCACACCACCTTGCCTCTCCACTCAAAAAAAAGTTTAAAAAGGAAAGACAGGGAAAAAGTATATAATGAAAGAAAATAGTTTGTTTAGCTATATATTGTTTTAAGCTAAGTGTTGTTATAAAAGAGTCCAAAAAAAGTTTTTTGGTATGTTTTTTGTTGGTCATGGGGCTTGAACTCTGGGACTGAGTGCTGTCCCTGAGCTCCTCAGCTCAAGACAAGCACTCTGCCACTTGATCCACAGCGCCACTTCCGATTTTCTGGTGGTTTATTGGAGATAAGAGTCTCATGGACTTTTCTGCCAGGACTGACTTTGAACCACAATCCTGAGGTCTCAGCCTCCTGCGTAGCTAGGATGACAGGTGTGAGCCACCGGCGCCCGGCAAAAAAGCCCTGGTGTTAGGCCTGGGAAGGCGGCTCAGTGGTAGAGTGCTTGCCTAGCACTCACGAAGCCCTGGGTTCAATTTCTCAACACCACAGAAGCAGAAAAAGCCAGAAGCGGCACTGTGGCTCAGGTGGTAGAGTGTTATCCTTGAGCTGAAGAGCTGAGCAACAGTGCCCGGGCCCAGAGTTCAGGCCCCAGGACAAAAAAAAAAAAAAAAAAAAACCCGGTGTTAGTGGCTCACGCCACGTGCTCAGGAGTTTTTAAAAGTTAAAAAAATCCTGTCACAATGACTCATGCCTGTAGTTCCAGCTACTCTCCCACAAGGTAGCTACAGCAGAGATCAAAGAGGATCATCTCAACCATGTGTGATGTGCCCACATAGGAAACAGAACTGCCGCTCAGGGCAGCCCTAGACAGATAAATAAGACTAAAGCAAAAAAAACGGGACTGACGGCATGGCTGGAGTTGAAGAGTACCTGAGTTCAAACTCTATACTTCCAAAATAGTAATAGCGGTACTAAGTTACAGCTGGTCTTAGCTGGTGTAACCACCCGGCCTCTCGGAAGGCTGAGGGTCCCACACTGCAGGCAGGAGGCTAGCCTACAGAATGGAATGAGACACCATGGCAAAAGGAAAAAGTTAAAAGGCAAGTTCACTTAAAAAAAAAAAAAAAGATAGTATATTATTAAAGAAAACTTTGTACCCTTCAAGTCACCTGAGCGTCAGTGTTCCTAAAGGCCAGCACACTTCACTGTCAGGCCCATCCCATGCTGCCTTCCTGCAAGCAAGCTGCATTGCCGAGCGCCCGTCTGTAGTGACACCAGTTTTTACACCGTGTGTGCTGTGTCCTTACTGCACCTTTTCCTATGTTTAGACACGTAAGCATTTAGCTTTATGTTACAGTGGTCTGTTAGATTTGCAGTAGCATGCTCTCTACCTTGGGGTCAACAGGGCTGCCTTGGCTACGATGAGCAGTAGCACACTGTGCCGCCCAGATGTGTGCAGAACAGGCTGGGAGACAGCAGCAGGTTATCTGGTGGCCACGTTGGCTAAAACATAGCCTGATGGCCTATGTAAATGAATGCATCAGTCTTTTAGTATCTGGTGACTTCAGTTTGCATTTCCAAATGACTAATTTTGTTGAATATCCTTTCAAATACTAATACTGCTGACCATTTAAAGAAAAAAAAAACCTAATTCTGAAGGAATAAAGATGATTGAGCAGCTTCATAATCAAATTAGGCAGGCCTAGAATCCTAGCTATGCTGAGACTGACTGACGTCTGAGGGTTGAAAGCCAGGCAGACAGAAAAGTCTGTAAGACTCTTTCCTCTAACCAACAGAAAGCCGGAATTGGAGCTGTGGCTCAAGTAGAGTGCTTGTCCAGAGGGCAGGGGTGGGGAAGAGGCTCAGGGACAGTCCCAGGACCAACATGAAAGAAAAAAGAAATTATATGATATAATTTATACTAACTTACATAAAACATTGTAGAAAGCATTGATTAAGCTTCAGCTTATGTCCTCATAGCCCCTGTTCAGAAGGGGAAGAAAGACTCCTTTTTTTTCCCGTGTCTGTCTGTCTGTCTGTCTGTTTGTCTGTTTGTCGTGGAGCTTGAACTCTGGGCCTGGTCCCTGACCCTCAGCTCTTCAGCTTAAGGCTAGCGCTCTACCGCTTGAGCCACAGTTCTGGCTTTTTCTGTTTATGTGGTGCTGAGGAATCCAACCCAGGGCCTCATGCATGGGAAGCAAGCACTCTACCACTGGGCCACCTTCCCAGACCCTTCTTTTTCTTTTCTTTTTTTTTTTGTCATGAAGCTTGAATTTGGGGCCTGGGCACTCTCCCCCCTGAGCTTTTTCACTCAAAGCTGGTGTTCTACCACTTTGAGCCACAGAGCCACTTCTGATTTTCTGGCGATTCACTGAAGATAAGGGTCTGGAAGAGTTTTTACCAGACTGGCTTTTTTTTTTTGGGGGGGGGGGGTCTGGTCGTGGGGCCTGAACTCTGGGCCTGGGCGCTGTCCCTCAGCTCTTCAGCTCAAGGCTAGCTCTCTACCACTTGAGCCACAGCGCCACTTCCGGTTTTTTTCTTTTTGCTTATATGGTGCTGAGGAATCGAACCCAGGGCCTCATGCATGCAAGGCAAGCGCTCTACCACTGAGCCACCTTCCCAGCCCTGCATGTTTGTTTTTTTTAATCAGTTGTAGACTTGAATGCAGGGCCTAGGCACTGTTCTTGAGCTCAAAAGCACAAGGCTAGTGCTTTACCACTTTGAGCCACAGCTTTACTTCTGGTTTTCTAATGGTTAATTGGAGGTAAGAGTCTCATGGACTTTCCTGCCCAGATTGGCTTTGAACCGTGATCCTCAGATCTCAGCCTCCTGGTAGCTAAGATGACAAGCGTCATCCGCTGGCACCCGGCTCCTGGCTTACATTTTCAAAATCCATACCTGTTGATGTTCTTTTTATCTTCTCTTATAGATTAACTTACCATGGCTGATCAGAGGCAACGCTCACTCTCTACCTCCGGGGAATCACTATACCATGTTCTTGGGCTAGACAAGAATGCAACCTCAGATGACATTAAAAAGTCCTATAGGTAAGCAGCCATGCATGGGCCTCCGTGTGCATTCAGCTGTGTTTCACCAGAACCCTGGCACTTAACCTTTCCCTAGCTCGTAGTGTGTATCTGGTGTGCTTATTGTGTCTTCAAATGGTTACGTTGGTGCTCTCTTACAAACACTTGGCAGGTGTTTCCAGCCCCGTAGTCTGCAAGAGGTCATGGTCCACACCGGTGGAGACCCCAGACACAGGCAGAGCTGCAGAGCTCACAGTGCTGAGTGGTGTGGCTTCTGATTGGGGCTCAACAACTTCTGGGGTGACTCGGGCCCCGTCTGCCTAGGAAACTTGAGGCCCTGAGTTCAAACCTACTACCTCCAGAATAACAAGACTAGCTCTGACTAGAGCCATCGTCATCAATTGTGACACTTTCAGTGGTCCTGTGTTCTTGTGCTTCAGTGTCACTCTTCTGCAGTAATGCAGTTTGCCTGTATGCAATTAGCTCTCTAGGACACCAGAGGTCAGCAGCAGGACTTGCCTTTGAAAGCTTTGCTGCCCAGGGCCTGATCCCTGTGCATGGATTCAGAGGCCAGGGAGATTTTCCCTGAAGCCGTGGCAGGCACTTCTTTGGACCTAGCATTCTAGACCTCTGGAAAGTTGGAAGTAGAAATGGTAATGGATCAACATTTCTTTTTCTGGACTCTGATAGATAAGTGTGAAGCACAAGACTAGATAGAGCCAGGAAATGGTTTTGGTTTGCAGGAAACTTGCCCTGAAATATCACCCTGACAAGAACCCTGATAACCCTGAGGCTGCAGACAAGTTTAAGGAGATCAACAATGCCCACGCCATCCTGACCGACGCCACAAAAAGGAACATCTATGACAAGTATGGCTCGCTGGGGCTCTACGTGGCTGAGCAGTTCGGGGAGGAGAACGTCAACACCTACTTCGTGCTCTCCAGCTGGTGGGCCAAGGTGAGGAGAGGGGCGGGCGGTGAGCCCTCACTGCAGGCACACTGCGTGTCTGGAAGCGCATGTGACAGAGGTCTCCACACTTGGTCTTGGCCGTCCTGTTGTCCTGTGTGCAGCATGGCTGCTGTGTCCCTGCTGTGACCAGCACAGGGCAGGGCACCTGGAGAGGGTCACTCAGAGCCTCAGGTTAGTCCCCACCCCGAGGCCCAGCCCTGGGAACAAGCCTATCGTCGAACTGTGGGTAGGATCTTCTGTTGTCAGAGATACCTTTAAATGTCACTTCACTTATTTCATGACCCTTTCATGCTTACCACCTACAGAGGGCCGAAGAATACAAGTTCTCCGTGACTCTTAGCTGAAGGATCTCAGTTTTTACTTTCCCTAGTCTGCTTCAGTTCCCTCCCGCCTCGCTAGCCCAGGCCAGAGCCTCCGCCACGCCCCTCCTCCCAGGCCGTCCCCTGCGCTGTGGCCTGCAGGGACGTTGAGGCTGAGCCTTCCTTCTCTCCCCCAGGCCCTGTTTGTCTTCTGCGGTCTCCTCACCTGCTGCTACTGCTGCTGCTGCCTGTGCTGCTGCTTCAACTGCTGCTGTGGGCGGTGCAAGCCAAAGGCACCGGAGGGCGAGGAGACGGAGTTCTACGTGTCGCCCGAGGACCTGGAGGCGCAGCTGCAGTCTGACGAGAGGGGTGAGTCCCTGCCCTGGCCGGTGCGCGTGTGCGGGGCAGAGTTGGCTGGGCCCTCAACGGCATCAACTGTCTTGTCAAACAGGAGGGCACTGACACTGTGCCGCGTGTGTGTGGTGGCAGCGGGGACTGTTGAGGTGTGAACATGGACACTGAGGTAAAGCAGGCGCAGGGAGCTGTCCCCACCCATGAACTGTGGTAGCCGTAGATCCAAGGGGCCAAGAAGGCGGGGAGGGTGGCAGGCAGGCGGGGAGGGCCGGCGTGGCCTGCGGCCAGTGAGGAGGTGTGCTGCTGGGTGGAGGTCAGCAGGTAGCCTCTCCCCTCTGAGTGTCCAGGTGGCCGAGTGCTGTGCTGTGAGGACCGATTCGGTGGACGCGCAGCCCAGCCGCTGCCCTGTGCGATGAGTCTGCCTGCTTACTTTTCAGAGGCCACAGACACACCAATTGTCATACAGCCAGCGTCCGCCACAGAGACCACCCAGCTCACAGCTGACTCCCACCCCAGCTACCACACCGACGGGTTCAACTAAGTTCAGGAGCAGCTGTGCTAGAGGATGAATCAGTACCGGCCACTGCAACCCAGAATCATGAACTGTAGTCACGAGATGGGGGCGGTCACCGGCCGGCCTTGGCTGGGCCTGGCTCCTCCACCCTCTGCGCCCGCCCATCCACCCGCCCTTGACACACGAAGTGCGTAGCATGCAGTATTTAAAGCGGTGTAGCTACGGTCTTCTGTTTTTTTTTTTTGTTTTGTTTTGTTTTGTTTTTTTCTTTTTTAATAGCATGTATGGGTTATGTTCGATGTCTGTGTTGTGGACGTGCCGCAGTCTGGCTGCATTAACCGGTTGATGGAGGCGTTCGTTCTAGTGGGTCCAGAAAAGTTCAAGCTGCAGCTGCCAGACTCTGCCCACCAGGTGGGCTAGGGAAGGAGGGGCCTTCCCTGCCTCCCTGTGTGTGTGTGGGGGGGGGGGGGGGGGGCTGGAGCAGGTGCCTCCTCCACATTGAGCTGGTGTCCTGAGACCGACTTAGATCTCATTTCCGGGCCACATTCTTACAGGCAGTGCCAGCGTTGGTCATTGGGCAGTTCGCACAGCACTGTGCTGAGAGGTCTGCCATGGAAGAGGGGGTCGCCCCTTCTGAAAGTGTCTGTCTGTGTTTCCGCCTGGGTCTCTCCACTGTTCCTGCACTTTGCTGACCAAGAGCTGGATTGACTGTCCACAGTCTCTCCCCTCTCCCCCAGTCCTCCTCTCCACATTCCTTCAAGCCCAATGATCTTTGGAGTCCTTTTTGAACTTGCAAGAACTATGAATGGTAGCCCCCGTCTCCAGGTTCAGGCAGGGGTCTGTCAGTCCGGCTGGGGTGGGCAGGGATGAGTTTCCAGCCATGGTCCTCCATGCTGTGCTTGACAGACCCTCACTGCCCGACTGCCTCTGTCCCCTCCTCCCCTGCCCTTCACGCTGTGCTTGCCGGAGCCCTGGCACCCTGGCCCTCTCCTCCCCCTCCCCTGCCCGCCATTCATGCCCCAGGCAGAGCTGGACATTGGGTTCCTGAAAGAAGGTGGCTGAGCTCAGAGGCCGTGGCTCCCAGGAGAGCGTCCCTGGTGCCTCAGCCAGCCAGTCTGGGAGGCCAGGACTGGGCTCCAGAACCCTTTTGTGAACCTCTGCCTGGTTTATGTCCCAGACCCGTGTGCGGTGCCCCAAGCGAGGAAGTGAGCGTACAGTGCCCGTGCTGGCCAGGGTTCAGAACCACCCCACGCCCCAAGCGGTTCTCTGTATTTGGTGCACCAGGCTCCTGCAGAAACTTTCTGAAGCCTGCTTCTGACTGTCTTGTGCATTTTCATTGGTGGTGAAGAATGAGAAGGCTCCTGTGGAGGCTGCATGGCCCAGATGAACTACCACACTCCCCCCCCCCCCCCCCCCCCCACCTCACGCTGGCATACCAGGACCTGTGTAGGGTGTAGGTAGGTCAGCTTGACAGGAAATTGGAAGAAGGGGCTGTGATGTGAGAACAAACTTGGTAGTGGTCGAGAGTACCTGTCAGGGTTTGGTGAGCCGGCCTTCTGCAGGTCTGTGTCAGAAGCTGGACCTGGGTGGATTTGTCTGATTCCACACTCAGTGAAGGGGATGGTGCTAGATTGGAATTAGAAGTCATCTGTTTACATCATACCTCTGGCAAGGCAAGGTGGTACATAAATCCGTTGTTGGATTCATACTGGAAAAGGAGGACTTAAGGTAGCAGACTGTGTGGTGTGCAAATCCAGCAACGGTGGCTCTGCCAGTCAGCCTCGATGGCCTTCCCTCAGCCAAGAACCAGTTCACAGTACAGAGGAGGGGTAGAGCACCACCAGCTGGCACTGGGATGCATGGTCCTGAAGAGAGGGTGCTCTGTGGCCAGCGCTGTGTGGGGGGCAGGGGCTGGACCCCAGTGTTGGTGGGGTTTGTGAAACTAAATCATGAGCTGGGTGCCAGGGGCTCTCCTAAATAATCTTAGCTACTCAGGAGACAGATGTGAGGATAGAAGTTTGAAGCCAGCCTAGGCAGGAAAATCTGAGACTTATCTCCACAACCCCCCCCCCAAAAAAAAAAAAGGCTGGAAGTGGAGCTGTGGCTCATGTGGCAGAGTGCTAGCCTTGAGCAAACACTTGGGGATGGTAGCCAGGCAAGTCAAGCCCCAAGACTGGAAAAGGAAAAGAAAAGCAAAAATCCTGAATCATGTAAAATTTGGAAAACTCAAATAGGACAGTGCTGAAGATGACAGTGGTCATCACCCACGGCCGGCTCCTGGTGACTGTGGATGCTGGCCCAGGGCCCCTGCACCCAGCCCTCAGGCACACCCTCTGCAGGATTTTACTGTTTGTCTTTAAGATCCCCCTGGTTTTGTTTCCTATCATAAGCAAAACTGGCCAATCTTGGGTTAGCCTGAGCCTTTTCCTGTCTAAGTACTAGCCAATCGGGTTGGCCATTGCTCCTGCCCTGCCCCGCCCCCAGATGCTTATGCTGGTAGCTGAAATAGGCGTGCCTCTTGGGCAGGGCAGGGCCATGGCCTGCTGCCAAAGCATGGCTGGGGTCTGTGCACGAAGGCCCGTGCAGTGCATCAGGCCCTGCCCTGCAGGAGGCGTGTGGGAGAGAGCTCCGCGCCGTCCCTCAGCTGCTGGCACCTGGACTTCTGTTGCACTCAGTGATGTGGTCTTGTCTCCCTTTGGCTTTGCTCTATTTTAAAGTGGCTTTAGATATTACTACTGCTCAGTGTTTATGAGCCTTCCTAGTCCTGTGATACTCCGTGAATGCAGCTAAAACGCAGTGGGAACCTGTTAGAAAAAGGACCGAGTACTTGCTGTGGCTGTCCGAAGCTGCATCTCCATTGTTGGTTGCTGCGTTTGGCCTGGAATCAGAGCAGCTGCGACTCTTGCAGGCGTCCTGGGAGGGGTGCCCCGTGTCCTGCTGAGCCATGGCGGTCTTTCCAGGGAGCCTTCGGTAGGAGAGCAGTCGCCCTGTCGTGGCTGGTCTGGAGAGAGCGCGGTGCCAACACAGGCGCTGTCCCTGCAGGTTCCAGGCGCCGTGGCAAAACCTGGGTGGGTCCTGTCCGTCCTCCGCCACCGACCATCAGAGTTCCTGCCACGGGAGGGGCCTGGAGGAGAGCAACAAGTGACTGATCCCATTCCTTCCTTAGCGTTCTGAGCTGTGGGTCCAGGCAGCCCAGGACTGACTGGCCTGTTTCTGTTGTTTTGGTTATAAACCATCCTGTGGGATAGACAGAGCTACGTCTTCACTGTCCTCACAAGCACGTGTGTGTGTCACACGCGGAGTGTGGGCTGTGCTGTGTGTCTGTGTGTACATATGTGTATATGTATATATCATGCGGCAGGCCTGTTGTGCTGCTGACCAGTGGTGAATCAACAAGTACAAATAAAAGTTGGCTCTAAGACAGCCTGTGGTTTCTTGGCCAGTTGGATAGAGACAAGGCTCTGGTTCAGGCAAAACCCGGACCAGGGTTTGTCTGCGAGTCATTCATCAGAATCGGGCTCCTTGCAGGGCTGAGCGGAAGGCGTGGGGAAGGCCCTGGCTCTTCCTCAACTCACGCCCAGGGCTGCAGGTTTGGGAAATCTAGGGAACTAACTCTTCCTCCCTTGAAACATGAAAAACAGTTTTCCAAACACCAGACACAATCAGTGACTGCGCATCTGAAAGGCGGCCTTTAGCCGCGAGCACTTTGCTGTGTGTGCCAGGAGGGGCCCTGCCAAGGGGCGCCCTCTAGGGGGACTGGTTGGAGCACCTTACATTTGGTGGCTTTCAGGCAGTGGGTCACTCTCAGTGGGAGGAGCAAGTTTACACTGAAGTATAGAAACTGTAAGAATTAAAAAGTGCATGGAAAGTAGCCATCCGTGCGCTGGTTTAACCCCAATAGGAGTCTGGTGACATGGGTGTGGGCTGCTGTCCGAGCCCAGGCTGGCCTGACCCCCTGTGCAGTCCAAGGGCCGCGCGACAGGGCTGTGATGATTCCGCATGGTGACCTCCATCTCCTGTGTCTGAATGTTGACCGACAATAAAGATAGCTACTGTAAAATAAATGTTTTCACTGCAGATCAGTGTGTCTCATACTTGACGTTCCTGCAGAAATCCATTCTCAGTGATTCTTGTCCCAGGTCCCCTAGGAGCCGGAGTCTCACTTCCCTCCTGTCTGGTCTGCCCAGGCACTGACCTTAGCAGCCTCGCTTCCGCCCTTTTGGTGACTGATTGGCAAAAAGAGTTTCATGGACTTTGCTGCCCAGGCTGGCTTTGAGCTGTGACCTTCTGAGCTCAGCCTCCTGAGTAGGTAGGATTATGGGCGTGCCACCGGCGCCTGCTCACTTCTATCCTCTAAATACCAAGATGGGAGTAAGGAAAGGAATCTGCTAGCTAATGAAGCTCATAAGCAAAAGGAAGCTTGGAGCATGTTTGGGCTTGAGTGGGTAAGTATGTTCCCCTACAGCCACAGCCTCTGTGAGTGCTGGGGCCACACTGCTGGTCAGCAGACTCATCCTGTTCTTCCATCCACTTGGCTGACCATGACCAACTCGCACCTGCCTTGGCTTCCAGAAACTTCCCTGGTGCTCTAACCCTCACTCTGCCCAGTAGGATTGTCCTCCCTGGTTCCAGTTCCAGTTTGAATAGGTGGGTGCAGCACAGAAATGGTGAGGGCGGCTGTAAGCCAGCGCCTGAGCTTACGTGTGCCTGGACGCTTTCCCCTGATGGAGCAGCACAGCTGGAGGGCAGAGGCCACCAACATGGCCCAGCTTCCACACTGGGCCAGCCTGTGTGTCTCCGGGAGCAGAGACCACTGCAGCTTGCCCAGAGCAGCTGGGGCTACCGGTGGCCCAGCCCACCGCCTTGCGTAGAGCACTAGCCGGGAGATGCTGCGACACTGGCTCCAGCCCTGTGTCTTGGGTCTCTGTTCTCCCTTCTCTAGATTTAAGTGACCGGTCCTTGTGTCCTGCGGGACCCTACACGCCTGCCTGAGAGCGTGTGTACCCTGGGGGCCAGTCTACACACTGTAAGCTACTCAGGAGGCTGAGATCTGAAGACTGCAGTTCAAAGCCAGCCCTGGAGCTGAATGTTGGTGACTCATACCTGTAATCCTAGCTACTCAGGAGGCTGAGATTTGAGGATCTCGGTTCAAAGCCAGCCCGGGCAGGAAAGTCCATGAGATTCTTTTTTTTTTTTTTTGTCGGTCGTGGGGCTTGAACTCTGGGCC